TATATAATATACCAAGCCAAATCAACCCAATATATCAAATCTGAGGGGTCAGGAATTGTTTAATTGACAGTTGGGAATAGCTTCAATTGTTTGGTATATTTGTTAGTAGGTTTGATAGATTGGCTTTGGCGGCAGCGCTGCAGGACCGACGCTGCCAGCACAGAGTATGCCATGCTCGAAGCGACATATCCATTAGCCGGGACAAATGATACTTGGACTCGCGGTATGCTACAGCATCCTCTTCCTTTACCGATGTTTGCTTCTCTTGGGATGCTAACGACGTAGATTAGGCTCCGAAATCCTTGACGGGATCATGCTTCCCGAGCTCTCGGCAGCTGAGTCAAAACAACAATTTGCCGTTACGATGCGCAATAATTGGACAGAAAGTGTTTACCTTATCCTTTCCTCCAACGGCACAATATCTGGTCGCATAATTGGGCCGCGCAATGAAACCATACCAAACATTCAGCTGAGAGAATCTGGGGAGCTAAAGGTGGCGAACTTCTCTGCTATCGCAACGACGATGGATGGGTTTCTTTACGGCTTCATCAACGATACAATAAGTGAATATTCCTTCGATGCATCGGATTCTTCAATCATGAATTTCGAAGGGATTGTCTACGATAAGTACGTCTCGGGAACATGACCCACACCAAATCTGTAGACGCTTGCTGTTGCAAAGAAAGAGATCAATATAATTCAATAAGGGGATGTGTCTCGAGAATTTTGCTTCTCTCGGCTGCATAGATATGTGTTTGGGCTCGTTATTCTATGAATTGAACTGTTGTAAACTACATGTATCCATATGGTTCTTGTGCCCTGCTTGATATCTCTGTTCATCTGAATCACTACTACTGCGATGCCTCCCAGGCAGCAACAAGTTGCGGCAGGTCCCGCACGAACTCTGTTCGCTTCGGAATCCACCCAAGCTCAGCCCTCGCACGACCTGAAGTCGCATTGCAAATCAACGCTAGAGCCTCGAAGAAGGGATTGCCATCGCAACCAACGTAAGAAAGTGCTCCTTTGGCGCCGATAACACGCTTCACCTCCTCCATCATCGTCGAAATCGAAATCGTCTCGCTTACAAAGTCGAAAACAGGCCAAGATCCGAAGGTGGGAAGACGGTCCACAACTCGCACGAAACCGTCGGCCAGGTCGTCCACGCAAACGACTCCTTTGCGAGTCTCTTGGTAGGCAGGGATTTCAATGGTGTTTTCGTCGCCACTCTTTGCTGCATCCAGCACCTTGCCCCACCAGGCTGTCATCACCCAAGAGCCTCGTCCGTAGACAGCGCCGGGCCGAACAATGGCAACATCTAAGTTGTCCCGAGACTTCAGCACGGCCTGCTCGTGAGCCGGTCGCCAAGCGACGGCTGTAGCGGGCTTGTCTGCAGCAAGGAATGTGCTGGGGACCGAGGTGTCGCTGATGCGCTGATCGCGGGGAGAGCCATGGACCCATGATCCGGAACAGTAGATAAATCCAAGTTTGGGCCCAATGGAGTTCTCCGTGGCAAGCCTGGAGGCCCTATCCTGAGCAGCTCCAGTGACAGATTCAAGGATCGTGGTCGCGTCACTGTAGGCTTGGGAAAGATCAATAACCACGTCGATGCGGTTTTCCGCGATAATAGCCTTGACGAAGGTGATGTCAGACAACTCTCCGATAAGAGGTTTGACTTCGTTTGATGCAAGAAGTTTGGTCTTCGTGTCGCTTCGAGAAGTAGCAAGGACAGTGTAGTTTCCAGAACGAATGAGAGCCTGAGCGACGGCCAAGCCGATGTAGCCAGCTCCGCCAAGGATGAGGACTCGGGCCATTTCGAAAGTTCGACAGCTTGTGGTGATGTAACGTGATAATATGATTTGAAGGCAGTTCAAAAATGTCGGATGTGCGGTGCGATGATGAAACTGACGATTTTCACTCAAATGAAAATGCAGCGTGTCTTGGCCATTTTTATGTTACAACTATGAACCAGTGACATCTCAAACTCGTTGTAAACTGTGCTAACCTCCAAATTTGGTATCCAGGATGCCTTGCTATTTCCACGGACGAACGATGGCCGCGGGCCTTGTGTTGGGCTAGGTGGCTTGACTAGCGCCGAGCCGTCTCTCCGGCTCTGGGTCACGGTCTTTGGGAGTGCGCTCCACAACAATTCAGTCTTTCGGAACCTCTTTAAGCTTTATAATCCAAACTTAGCAGCGGTTATTATTATCAGTGCGGGCGAACATGTGGTTAGGCACAGCATGATGATTCGCATTCCCAGGATAACTGACTAAGCCTGGCGCAGTTCGGCTTTACAAAGTAATTGCTAGATAATTCCGAAATCATAGCTAGCATACGCCTTACCTTCCCCGGGATAATGTTGAACTTTGGCTGGGTATCTCCGATTGCTCTCATTGCCTGGAGAATGTATGACCAAACTTCGATGGGCGCCAGCACATATTGACTGATTGGCAACACGAATCAATCATAGAGGCCATTGATTATTTGCAAGAATCATGCAAACACACTTCACAGAACAGCTTCGTGAAATTACATTGACTTCATTAACAGTAACTTTTGACTGTTTCTAATTACCAATTACTTGATTTCAATAGTCGTCTTCAGAGACAGGTTTCTGCTGGAGTTGCCCAGCCAAAGGGTGTAGGTACCCCTGCGCAGTTGCCATTGCTGAGCTACAACGTCCCAGACACTAAGATCACGTCGTGTGAGCTCAAAAGATACACGAGAAGTCTGTCCCGGGGACAGGAAAATGCGGGTGAATCCGCGCAGTTGGTGGACGGGGGTATCTTCACCGCCACCAGGAATCTCAACATAGAGTTGGGGAATCTCTGCGCCCTCGACATCACCGGTGTTGGTAACGGCGGCCTTGGCGACGGCGATTGTCTCCCAAAGAGATGGATGTCCTCCCTGAACAATGGCGATCTCGGGGTCGGGGTACTCGGCCGTGTCGGCAGCGGCAGTAAGACCGGCAGTCAGATCAGCGAGTTCGAAAGTGGTGTACGAGAGGCCGTAGCCGAATTCGTATCTGGGGGTGATGTTCTGGGCATCGAAGTAGCGGTAGTCGATGTACAGTCCCTCGGTAAAGTTGCTCTCCGGGAAGTAGTCATCCGAAGCGCTCGAGTTCAGGTGGTCGCCGTAGTCGGACTCAAGCTTGGCAACCGTGTAAGGAAGCTTGCCAGAGGGGTTCACGTCACCCCAGAGGACATCGACCAGACTGTAACCACTCTCCTGACCAGGAAGTCCGGCGAAGACGACAGCGGTAACGTTCTCGTGCTCGATCCACTCATCGACAGTGCGAATGCCTGCAGAGTGAACGATTACGACGGTGTTGGAGCAGTTGGCAGCCACGTTCTTGACGAGGTTGTCGCTGAACTCATCGGTCAAGCTCAGGCGATCAAAGCTTTCCGAGGCGTACGCGTTGATGAACACGAGACAAGCCTCAGAGTTGACGTAAGGGGGGGACGGGTTCTCGGAGTAGAAGTCCCAGCGAAGAATACCCTTGTTCTTAGCGATGCGCTCCTGGATGGCCTGGAAAGGCGAAACGACGTATGGGGGCGTGCTGCCGCCAGAACCACCACCAGTGATGAGGGTACCGTTGAATGTTTCCCAGCCAAAGTTGACCTCATAGCCGCCGCCGTAGCGAGAAGGGTTCTCCCAAGGAATAGCTTTGACTGTCGCATCGTATCCGTAGATGGAAAGGAACTTGGGGTTCTTGAATGGCAGGGTCTTGTTAACGTTCTTCACGAGAACAGTGCCTGCGGCGCCGATCTGACGGATCAAGTTGGAGTGATCGGCCTGAACGTCGACGGGGTAGGCCTTCTGCAAGTTGGAGTGGATAGCAGACTGGGGAAAAGCATGCTCCTGGCGCAGGTAGTGGTAACTGGCCAGAATTCTCGTGACCATGTCCGAGAGCCGGTCCTCGGTGACGGAACCATTGTTGACTGCCTCGACCAACTTGTCGCCCCAGTAGCCAGCATCGGGCATGACCAGATCCAATCCAGCGTTTGCGGAGGCCACTCCAGTCATTTGACCCTCCCAGTCACTAACAACGTAGCCTTCAAAGCCAAGCTCAGTCTTGAGAACACCGTTCAAGAGATGTGAGTTCTGGCAGCCATATGAGTGGTTGGCGCGTTGGTAAGAGCACATAACAGATGCCGCACCCTCCTTGAGAGAATCCATGAAGGGGAAAACGTAAAGCTCGTGGAGCGTACGGTCATCAACATTGGAGCTGATGGCTTCACCGAGGTCAGAGATACGACGGCGGTACTCCTGTTCGTTCAGCAGCCAGTGTTTGGCTGTAGCGATGACGCCCGCATCTTGAATTCCACGGGTAATTGCGCCCATGCCGGCGCCAGCAAGGTAAGGATCATTCGAAAGTCCCTCCCAATTACGGCCTCCGCGAGCGACTCGGCCGAGAGGACCTGCGCAAGGGGCAAGAGCAGCGTTGATTCCCTTGCCATAGTACTCGTCACCAAGTGCTTTGCCGTACTTGTACAGCAACGCCTTGTCGAAGGTAGACGCGACATGGATACCGGCCGGGAAAGCGGAAACGAACTCCTGACCGCGAATTCCGTCAGGAGCATCCGCAAAGCAAAGAGACGGAATGCCAAGGCGCTCAATCGCGCCTGAGTTGCCGACACAAGTACCGGTCCATCCTCGGGTGATGTTCGCCTTCTCCTCGACGGTCAGGTCTGCCACCAAAGCTCTAGCTTGACGGTATGCAGCCGCCCAGCTTGGGTTGGTGGTGCCGTTACCAGCGGCTAAGAAATGTTAGAAACTTACCATGACCTGTTTTAAGAGTGACACTTACGAGAGGGGTAGACCGGAGGACTACGACCGTAGTAAGGGACTTCCGACGGAGCAGACCCGTTGGTTTGCGCGGCAGCCAAGGCGCCGTTGAGAGCGGCCGCAAGGAGAACGCCTGTCTTCATCTTGGATCTCTGGCTGGTGTTGACTGAACTGTGAGTTCGGGGAGCCTTTGAGATCGCTGTGAGATGCCGGTGAGGGCCAACAAGAAGTGAGCTCGCCTGATGGTATGGGGATAGCCGGCTCTTAAAAGTCCTCCCGTGATGGCACCCGGCGATTGAAACCGGGCTTCCGTTGTTTTCTTTCGGTGACTATACCCGATCAACGTCATTCCCGGTGAAGCAGGGCCCGAAATGGACCTCATTCAATCGGTCCTATTCACAAAAAGTCATGGAGACAACATGCAGACTGTGGATTCATGACTCGACATTAACCGGCTCTGACTGGCGAGATCGGAGAATAGTCCGATGACTATCGTAATGTTAACTCGGATGGCTGGGGTGATAAATCAACAAACCAATTGGCCAATTGACAAACTAGACGACTGCCGGCGGGTCCTCTCCGACCTACCCCGCGCCCTCCGCATCGGCGACTCTCCGCCACGACGTCGACCGCGGTCGAAGCAAGGTTGGGGGTGGTTCTCTTGGTGGATATGTGGACTCATTTTGCCCGGGGAATTCCCGGACTTTGAGTCTGCTGACAGCGAGAGCATACGACTCTCTAAATGCCAAATGGCGCAACTGTTGGTCTTGATGTCGAAGGTTCCACCTGGCCCCCGCTTGGTTGATTTCGACTGACAGGCATTCGATAAGCTTGTCCCCAGGAGTTCACCGTTTTTTCCAATGAGGGTGGATTTTCGTCCAAACACCGGTTAGAGTTACCAACACAGTTTGTGGGACCACTCGGGGTCTACGACGGACTTCACAGTTCTAAGCCCCCGCATTCCGGATTGCGCAGTTGCACCCGCTCATTGAATCTTCGCGGGCCCATGTCGGTAGGACTAATCCATGCTCCATATGCGTGCGAAGTCGGATCAGCGTCACGGCAAGTTGTTAATGGCGGCCGTTGAGTGGGCAGATGCATGACTTCTCAACTGCTATGCTGCAGCGCACTCAGAGCAAAATCCGAAGATAATGTACCGTCTTGCTTGATGTCCCACGAAGTAACGAGTCAACAGATTTTCCAGCTTTTGGAGAGCATCCAATAATAAGAACAGCTGGGTGGAACGAGTTATCCCAGGAGACTAGGACTTTGGTTGTAAGAGAAGTATTGCGATTCCTAGATATTCCCCAACCGAACAAAAAGAAAACAGCTCCAACCATGATTGTGAAGGCGGCGACAGCGTAGTGACTGATCTACTTCGACAATCAAGGCGATAACGCACCGATAATCATCAATGCAATTGAGTTTCAATGTCTTGCATCTCTGCCACGTTTTCTCGGCTAGTTCGGCTTGAATTAGAGCAGCTTTCCGTCTGATCGTCGTCTTCAATCCATGCGGCCCCTGACATAAAACGAACTGGCACGTGACAAGTTTCATGTTCTGCAGGAACTCAGGGATATGTAGCCACTCGCGTGATGAGCCGACTGTGAATCTGGAGGAACCTTGCGGCGATTGCTCAGCTAAACAGTCTAGATTGCGGCTTTCCGCACGCAAAGGACCTTTCGATTGCTCCCATAAATACGGGCACTTTTTTTGTTTGCAGGCCTAGGGTCTTCATCCTGGCGAACATCGCAAATCGAGCCTCGGGTGCGAATGCCTCGTACTTAACATATTGCGGGGGTGGCGCTCGCCGTATTTTCAATGGTCTGTCCTGTGCGATGAGCCGTACTGGATTCTACCAGGTGACCATGAGAGCAGGTCTAGGCACGCGTGGACAGTCGCAGTTTTACCACTGGGTTTAAAGATTTGTCAACGGAAGGATACAAGTGATAGGGGAAGTTCGCTCTCCGCCTGACCGGTTCCTAGAATCTAACTATCGCCCTTGCTGCTCTTCTGACTGGCCACATCCAGACTCGCCATCCATGACAGGCACGAAGGATCGTCCAATAGAGGAAAAGACACCTCTTCTAATAATACAAGCTTTTGGATCTCGGCAAACGTTCAATGTTACTGGCACTGATGGGTGCCTCGAGAAGTTGTTCCTGCAGGCAACCCCCGGTCGTCTCAGCTGCGAGTGACCTAAACCCTCTTGCGGTGCCTGGCGATCATCTGCACCAAGCTTCCATCGTCCCGAACTACTGTCCAGTTTCTAGATCATAGTGGGGCTGAGCGATGAATGGTATTGGACTGTTACACAGCGAGGCAGAGTGAAACCGCATCCGGTTCCGTGCGAGTATCAGAGACCAGCCCAACTTAGAACAGCACGGACGCCTCAACATGGGCTCATGCAATCGAATAAGTACAGCTGAATATCCAAATCCATGCCTTTGGATGATTCGCAACTGTCTTTCACGTGTTGAACACCTTCATTCTGTCATTTCTTTCTTCGACCAGCTTGGCCTGGACAAAACTCATCAACGATGCACATCTCTCTCGTTACGCTACTCGGCGGTATCGGGGCGCTCGCGGCCCCAAATATTCCCCGGCAGGCTCCGCCAGCTCCAGCTGTGCCGCTGCGCATAATGGCACTTGGTGCGTCTGTCACGTTCGGTACAGGCTCTACCACCGGCAACAGCTATCGCAAAGACCTGCAAGACCTTTTGGTCGCCCAGGGAATGACTGTATCTTATGTCGGCACGAGAACAAACGGCAACTTTGCAGACAATGCTGTCGAAGCGACCGGGGGGTTCAGAATCGCCCAAATTGCGGACTCAGCAGACAAAGCCGTTCCCATGCTAAAGCCGAACTTGGTCCTCGTCGATGCTGGAACAAACAACTGCAACAAAGGCGGGGAGGTTCCAGATGCTGGAGCCAACGTTACGGCGATGATCAACAAGATCTACCAACAAAGCCCCGGATCGACGGTAATCCTGACATCTATCCTCGCCAACAAAGTCCCGGAGCAAGACGCGTGCCGTGTCAAGATCAACGAACAGTACAACGCAGTAGCAGCTCAGTTCCAACAATCCGGCGCAAAGTTTGGATTTGTCGATATGCGAAGCCCAGATGCACCAACACTTAATGACCTGAACGATACGAGACACCCGAATGATGGAGGATATGTCAAGATGGCCAATGTGTGGGCAAAGGGGATTCAGGAGGTCATGGCGAAGGGATTTGTGACTGCTCCCAGCTGAGAGACCCAGCTTTGAGAGATAAGCCCGGGCAGTTGGGCAGTTTGGGAAATTTTCCACGCCTTCGATATTCGTTTCTTGATGGTTGTGTTAATACCAGTTCAGACAGAGAATAAGTACAAGTAATGAATGGTGAGAGATTTGGTGTCAGACTTTGATTTGATTAAATGACGTATCAAGATCATGGTATTGTTGTTATCGATGCACTCTTCTTTTTCTCCTGCTCTCAGTTTATGTCTATAAAACTTTGATTGTGCTCAGTGCCCTACCTAAGAACCAAACACTGCCAGAAGTGTTGGAACTCTCTGAGACAAAAAGGTGTTGACATCTGCAGCACCGTACATGCTCCTAGACGTAGGCTCTGGTCATTTCTTCAATAAGCTTCGAAACTGATAGACCACAGACTATCTTGACGAGTCTACTATCGCCCATGAGTAGTTTTCCAGGCCCGTGGTACAAAATAAGAGTTTTCAGGTTTAAAATCAATTTATCGTTACATATTATACGCGTTGCGAAAGCTCTGTCACGGATCAATAATGCAAGTACGGGACAAATCCAAAATTTTCCACAGACTTAAATCTCTCGGGAATTAATGTTATCTCACTTCCTTTTCAATGATCTGCGTTCCGGTCCGTCATCGCATCTTGACCTCTGATGTCACCACCTCACTCCCAAGTTGCTCTTGGGTCAGATGCGCGCCTTGGGGTGCCATCTTCGGAGCGAACACCATCCTTGATGCACCCCTGACCCACTCAGGGGCTCCCCTTTCGTTATGACCTCCAATAAGCACATGTGATGTGTACTTATCTTTGGAGATGCTGGCATTATGTTTCTGGGTCTCTTTTACGCCCCCCTCAGTGGCTGACTCAGGACCAACACCGTCATCTCTGACGATGAAGAAGTGAACCTTGCGGCTTTCTGCGGAATTTAGCAAGAATAGTTTACCCATGTTACGGACATCTCCCCTAGAGGGTTCTGGTGCTCTATCTCTCTTCCTGACGTTTGTGACATTGGCAAACGAGGAACTCCAGGCTCTTCTCTGCCATATACAAATGATTCACTCCCCAGGTAGAACCGTCTGCGGGTTCATGAACATCTAGTTATTCTTCATTAAATAAATTCTTAGCAAGCTTTACACAAATTTATTATACTATACGTGGGGGGCTTCTGACAAGCTTGTGCTTTGAAAGTCGGTGAGTCGAAACGATCAACCTCATAGGTAAGTCCAAGTCGGGTTTCGCAGTCTGTGAATCGCATCTTGACAGTACATTTGATTGCCTGCTGACTCGTTTACAAAGCAGGTAACTATTTACTTCCCTGTCTTGACTCGTGGTTTATGAGCCAACAACTGTAGTCGGTATTAGGACAGCATCTATTCCTAACATATTTGAGTTTTTCGGCTAGATAACGCCCTCGGTATTCGCAAAGAAGCGGAAGTTATTGACCGAGGCACCAGCGTCGGTTTTACTAAGCCTCCGAGTTCCACTACTTTACAAAGACGCATCAGTAAAACGGATATTCCTCCAAGGAGGTTTTGTATATAATCTTAGTACCAGTCTGCCTTCACTGTTATGATCACCTAGTCCACTAGAAACTTCATATCTTACCACACAGCTTGCATGAAACGCCAGCCTCAAATCAGACCAACATAGTCGCAAGATGGTGAGAGTTTCCGCTCTGCTTCATGCGATGTTCGCAGGATCGACCGCCGCCCAGTTCGACATGTATTGCAACCACGGTACTTATGAAAGCCCGGCTCTCAGCTGTGATAATGTGAATTTTCGAATCTACTATCTATCGTATGACGCGGTTCTAACTATTTACTAGGGTCAGAACGTATATTGTGTGCGTATAACCGCTCCAAATCAAGGCTGAACTACATAAAACCTCTGATTGCTGAATCATTTGCAGTGTGTCTTTCCGAATTGGTTCACCACTGACCCTGGTCTCGCCCCTGGATTTCCTATTCATCGTCAGTGTACGAAGTTCTCGGGCGAATGCGCTGCCAAGGATAGCAACGGCAATCGTGTAAAAAGCAAGTTTGGAAAGGACGCCGTTGGTGTGAGTCGCATACTTGCCACAGCTCGCGATGGACTGATTTGCTAATTCAAATATCCTAGTTTGGTGCCTGCGTCGGCATACCCTCTGATCACATTCCCGGTAATCTTGCTAACGTTCAACAGTGTTGATATCTACTACAATGAAATACAGCACGCATTTTTCAAAGCGGCCCTTCTGAGACTTAATAGGCCCCTTGAGGCTGAGCTGATCATGAACAACAGCGTATCTAGCCGCCACGGATGGCTCAATGTCGTCTCTTTTCCTGAAACTGCCGGTCGAGCTTGCCGGTAGCTTCGCAGAAAAGGACCACCGTTGCTAGAAGCCTTTGAATAGACAAGGCCGAATATTTCATTGAGAGAAAGAGATCAGTACGTAGCGGCTGGTGTGGGACGAAGCTTCTTGGCCAAGTTGTTGAAATGCGCAGGCCTGGTTTTGTTGGTGCGATTGGGTGACAGTAAGCCTCTGGCAAACCTAGTGTGAAGATGTCGCCAGGAGACCCCCGTAGCAAGCCATAGGGCCCCCTGAGAATGGCAACCCGTAGGGAGCTTTATTCAAAGTCTAGAGACGCGACAATGTTTCTGTAGCAACAAATCAAATTATTTGGTACCTATGCGCAAGGCTGAAACTGAGTACTAAACAGACGAAGCGCTCACCATACAGTGAGGATAAACACAAAGGCCACAGAACTCAACTTTCTTCCACGGGGCGAAGGGTATACTTCAGAAACATTTATGATTAGAAACAAACATCTCCTGCAATCTTCCCCTGTTTGATCCTACTGCTAAAGTCGACCGTTTTCAACCACTCTTGTCCCCATTCTCAGTCACGGAATGTCTTGTCAAGCCATGTTCCCTATCTATCATTCCTGTTCCCAGCTTTGGAAATGCCATCAAACCATTATAGGAGTCCTTCAACGACATGTTGAAGCGAGAAAGCGTCTTGCCTAGATGTCGAAGGAGCAAAATGGACACTGAGAGTGGATACCCCTTCGTGTAGGTCTCCAGCCCGCGCGTAACTGCGAATCTCCGAAGAGCAGGGAGCGTGCTGGCTAGATAAGCCCTGGCGTGCGTTCCGAACGTCGTCAAATCTGCCGCCAGCGGATCTTGGTCAAGCTTGGAGCCCGGATTGTCATTCATTGGCGGTACGGAGAAGACGAACCGCTCCAAGTTCCTGGGGCGTTCAAGTTGGTTGGCACGGACTTTGTGCGCTTCCAGTGGTCCTTTGCACGCATTTCTCCAAGGTTTTGATGCACTTCAGATGCTGTTCACGCAGGAATAACACACGCAATGGAATACCAGCTACAAGAAGTCGATCACAAACGATGACACAGCGAACGTGCGGAATCTCTCGTTAGCTACCTATCGCAAAGCTCAATCGTAACCCCAAAGCTGCAGAGTATGCACGCAGAAGCAGCTTGGCGTAGGAGAGCTCGCCGGGTAGACACTACGACAGTGCAGTTGCCTGCAAGTCACTTTGATTTATTTAATTTTCCCCATCTGACCTGTCAACTCTAGAAATACGGGCCGCTCGGGTGCGGCCGGCTTTCCGAAGTTGGTCGGCCGAACACCCCACATCCCGATACCACTCCGATCACCTCATTTAGCCCAAGGGGTCATGTTTTCGTCCGTGTCGCTGCCAGACCTTGACCCCGAAGTAACCGTGATTTGAGTTGTGCGGGTGACCTGTACACCAAGCTTCCCATCTCGCGTGGAATCCTGCCCAGAAGGGCCCCCGTGGAGCTGTTCTTGCGATTCCGATCTATCAAAATTAGTCATAGACACCCCGTCATCCCGCATCTTGTAATAGCTGTCTGCGTGGAGTCCAGACTTTGATCGCTGCGGTGTGGAACCAGTCGCGTAGTCTGATGACTTCTGGTCCGACGGGTTTGTTGTCTTTACGCTGATGCCAAGCGCGCTCTTCATCTTGCGGGGAAGGCCAGATTCTCTGATTATCTTTGGCAAACAGGGAACGCTGAGGATGAAGAAGCCGCAGGTCATTTCGGCACATGCCCAGAATAATAAGGGGCCGATGAAGTACATTGTGTCTGCTGCTTGGGCGAACGCGATCGTATGGTCGAGACGGAAACAAGCGGCGATCGATGCCCTGGCAATTGTTAGCGAGTAATCCCACTACAGGATCGATATCCTTACAAGATGCCAACTCCGAAGATGATCGAGATTCCGATCTTTCTTTGCAGATTCATTTGCAGTCCCCAAATGATCCGTTGTGGTAGCAGGACCATCACAATATCCGTGGCAACTTGAACGCTCGCCGACATAAGCATTACCTTTGGCAGGGCAAAACACTTGCTAGGCAAGTAGAATTCCCAGATTGCGTTATGAGGGGTGCACTGTATATTCAGCAGAATGATGCAGAGTATTCCCCAGAGACACTGGAAGCCAACGACGCCCATGCAACACCACCAGAACACACTTTTTCGTTTATCGCCAGCGGTGAAAATTCGGCACCAGTCGAGAAGGATAGCGGTTTTGATCAGGGGCAGGACGGCTGAGTAACAACATCCATAAACAAGAATCAACTTTCGCGGGTCAGTGGTGCAATGCAAATAACGCTTATAGACAACTCACATATAGAGGTTGAATGAGATCTTTGTTTCGGAGATTCCATGTGTGTACATAATAGCCTGGTGTCCAAATCATGCCGTCAGCGGCGTACGCGGTGCCTCAATACGCTCCCTGTTAGAAATGACAGTCAGCGGAGTTATCCATAGCGCCAGTGGAAGGTTGTTCTAGACAAAAGCTTGTTTGTAATACTCACATAGGCCAGAATCATCAAAACTACTCGTTGTACCGTGTTAGCTAAACCTCAAACTTTTACGGCGCTGAATCTTGAAAGGGGCGCAATACCTTCTTCGATGCGGACTTTCTTCTCGATCCACAAACGTGCGTAACAGCGCAAAAATAGACACAGTGTGGCAATCA